CGTCATATCCAGCAATGCCTGAAACATCTGGCTCTTTAATTAGCTTGAAACCATTTTGCAGACCATCGAGAATAAAACCTTTGTCGAAATAAAAAGAAAGTTCTCTTTGCCAAGCGTGTAAATTCAGGGGACATTCCTCAGGCGGGGTGAAAATTGAAGCATCGAAGGAGGCCTCAAGCATGGCACAATCAGAGCGAAACGTTCATTTCTTGCTGTTATTGGGATTAGCCCCGGTGGGAGCCCCAGTGCATGCTTTGCCTTTGTGAGAGGACTGTCAACAATGAATGCAAACATGCTTATGCCTGCACGACTGAGGGTTAGGGCAACCACCAGGACTAAAGTCCTAGCGAATTAAAGCAAAATTCGTGGGCACCAGATGAACGCCGTTCTGTAGCGCGAGTCGTACTAGCGGGAGGCTTAAGCGCGTCAGCAGCTTCGAAGTATTGCGCACTCAAATCCTCCACATTTGAGCCCCAGGAAAACTTCTCGCGCAGTTTAGTGGCACGATAATCTTGGTCAAAAGCAAGAATAGCCCGAGTCTGAAAACGGGTGCTTTTTGCGGCAAGGAATATCAGATACCCAAGATATTGCTGAGCCTCATTGGGACTTGACGAAAGCAACGTTTCTAAGATCTTAATGTTAGCCAACATAAACTGGGGAAATGTGAGTTGTAAAGGTTTCAATTGCATTCCGTCCGAGCCATATATAAGTTCACAAGGAAGCAACTGCTTACCTCCGGCTGCAGCTTCCTCAGAGGCAGACGAAGCGACCTTAGTGACTTCGGCCTCGTGCGCAACTTTGTCGGCACCCGCGCCAAAAAACGGCCTCAATTGTCGCGAGTTGCTGTGCCATGTTAAGAGGCACGGTTGTCGGGACGGGTTTGTCCTGCTCCAAAGTAGTGCTCCCAGACAGGGTAGCAGGTTCGTCGAAGGTTAGAACCGCGATTGCACGGCGAAGCCGGCAGCACTCTGTAGCCTACGGAGAGCTCCAGGTCGGTGATATCACGCTCAGATACACCAACGACAAACTCCTCACAAGTTATGTCGTGTTCTTTCAAAACCTCCAGCC